AGCATCACGCCCAGCTGCTCCGGCGGGACCGCTTCAAGGTGCTCATCTTCCAGGTGAGAGGCCCTACGACCACCCCTGCAGCCCACACCCCCTCTCCCAGCCCCACCAGGCTTATTCCCAAATTTGAGGGAAGAGCCCAATTCTGCTAACTCCTAGCAAACTTGGGGAAAGAGCCGCTTCTTGTTCTTAGCAAACTTTTTACTAACTTTTTTACTAACTCTTAGCAAACTTGTAAAAGGAGCAGTCTTTTTTGCTATCTCTTGGCAAACTTGGAGAAAGAGCCCTCTTTTATTATTAGCAAATTTAAGAGAAACATCCACTTTTACTCTTAGCAAACTTGGGGGAAACACCTGTTTTGCTAACTCTTGGCAAACCTGGAGAAAGCGACCTTGCTTTGGTAACTCGTAGCAAACTTTGGGAAAGAGACATCTTTTACTAACTCAGCGTATATGGGGGAAGAGTTGTTTTGTTGTGGAGTTTTTTCTTAGGCAAACTTGCAGAAAGGGCCCTTTTTTTCAGCAAACTTGAGAAAAGATCTAACTCTTAGCAGTGCCCCTAAAAACTGCCCTTGCATCAGCTCTCGGAAGCAGGAGAGGGGCAGCGCTGCAGCTCCCTGTTGCACCCAGCCTCACATCCCGCTTAGATCTTCAGGCTGTTCTGGCTCATTCCGGGATGAGCTAAAAATTCAGCTAAAAACTCTGCTTCCTGGGAGGCCATCCAGTGATAGCAGCAGTTTGCATATTTTCCCCTTTTTAAGCAATGGTCTGGATAGAACACAGTGTGAGCTTTAACTAAACACAGGACTTGACTTCTACATCTATTAAAAAAAAAAAAAAGGCGGACCTCCACAAGGCGCGGCGAGAGGGAAGGAGAGCAAGCATGGGGCTGGAGCAGCCGCAGGTCGGGCACATCACCAGCTCCTCTGGCTAAACTTGTCAGCTACATGTTACATCTGTTAGAAGCTAACTCTACTTCTTGGGTTGCTGCGGGTATTTTTTCAGTTTAAACAAACCCAAAACAACAGAGCAAAACTTGATTTTTAAAAGCTGGCAGGCCTGGTTAGTGCATAGGCGCTTCCCCCAGAAAGGAAGCCCCCACCTCCCTGCTTATTGTTCTTCCAAATTACTGTCCAGGCTTGTCAAGCCAAAAGAGGAGGACCTGCAGTGTGCACTGAGGATGGTGGTTTCCACCCTAGAAGGAATGTGGAAATTATTCCAGGGACTGGGTAAATTAAAAGATACATGTTCTCTGGACTTCTTCAAGTAATTTAAGATCTGTTACTGTAAGTCAAAACATTGTCATCTCCCAGGGCGTGTTAGCTAATGACTGGCTTCTGCCTTCAGGCTTAGACATAGACCCGTGGGCAGGGTGCACCAGCTTGGCCTGTGGGAAGGTAATTTTGTGTCATTTTGGCTACCTGAGAGCAGGAGAATTAAGGCCTTGCTATTGCAACTACAGCATCTTCCTCCAGGGAACCCAAATTTTAGCATTTTAAGATGACATAGTGTGTAGAGGAAAGATAAAATCACAGCTGTGTGGGGGCAGTTATGGTTGCCTCAGCTAGGGATCCCCATTACTGCTGCAGAGGGGCAGTGATTTGCAGGCACTGGGTAAAAGTACTGGTAAAACTTGCCAAGAAGGGTTTGAAGGGTAAAGCAGCGTTCCAACAGGGGAGAGCTGGCTTGGCTTGTTTCCTGACACTAAACAGCACTGCAAAGCTAAGGCCTGTTTAAACCTTTGAGCCTTTCCTTACTACCAGGTCCTAAAATCCACAAACCCAATGCAAACAACACAGGTCTGTGCCCCAGAACAACAGCTAGAGAAAATCCATTGCTTCTCCACTGCCTGTCACTGGGGTGGTACCTTTGGACAGGAGGTCTGTTCTTCATTGCTTTTATGAGTTTAGTTGACTGTGTTCCCATCTCTCACTGGAAAATATGTTGCCATGCCGGTGATGGGGAGATGAGCTTAACCGATCCCAAGCTGGTGCAGATCAGGAACACAAGCCTTAGAAAAAAAACACTACAGTTAAATTCCGTTTAAAAAAAAAAAAAAAAAAAAACAGCTGTCAACTGGGAATTGCTCCTGGCACTGTCCTGTTGCTAAAAGGCAGCGTGGCTGTCTGGAAAACCAGGGCGGCCAGCAGCGCTTGCTTGGGGCGTGGGAGGGTGGCTGGGGTGGGCAGAGCCTGGGAGGAGCTGGGATTTTCCACTGGGGAAGCAGCCACACCCAGAGGGATGGTGGGTGCTCACGAGGCCAGGCCCATACGCCTGCTGCTGGCCTGGGCAGGTGGCTGACCTGTGTGCCCACCTCCTCGAAAGCTTCCTGGGGGCTTTCCTTACGAGGCGGAGGTGGGATGACCTGGTAGTTGGTGGGGCCACCACAATGCTGGGATAATTGTACAGAGGGAGAAGAGCAGAAGTCTGGCGGGGTTTCTGTACCGCCCTGAGCAGGAATCCATGGAAAAACAATTGCAGGAAGGAGAAGTCGCAGCAATGACGCCATATTGATGCCAGATTTCTGTAAAAACAAAAGGGAAATCTGGATATGTGAGACTTCCCTTCGGTTGAGGGATTCTTCTTTTCCACTGAAAAAAAAACAATCCCAAACTTCACACAGCATGTTTTTCATTAGGACCCGCTTTTCCAGTTTAGGAAGACAGCTCAGTATGAAAATAAAAGTATACATTTGTGATTCAATTCTGCATTCACTGTATACCTCAAGCTCCCTGATCCTTGGTGGGAGCACCGAGCACAGCCAAAACACATGACCGAGCTCTAGCTCTGCATTTTATGAAACTGTGCTGCCACTCGCCAGCATCAGCTTTCCCTCAGTGTACATGCTGAGAATGAACTGCGTTTAGAAAAGTTCAGCTATTTACATATTTTCCATTAAAATGCTCATAGTTTTCCCTCCCTAGGCTGTCTGCATTGTTCCTAGTTTGCATATATTTCTTTAATTGGTGACATATTTTAATGCAGCTCCATTCCAAGCATTTCAGGATGCAAAAGTTATTACAAATGCCACAAGTGACACAGCAATTTTGCAAAACACTGAAGTGACTGTTTTAAAAATCCTTGTTAAGCTTTGGCATTGTTCCCCTCTATTTTGTTCTTGCCACATGACCAGCTTTTTGGTTCTGGTTTGGTGGGGGTTTTGTTTGCTCTTTCAGCTGCAGAAGCAAAATACAAGATAGAAAAGGCTCATGTTTAATTTTTCAATTAAATGTCATGTTTACTAGTGAATAGGACAGATAAAATAACTCAAAATTGCAGCTTGGGGTCAAGCACACTGATATTCAAGCCCCTTTCAGATGCTGCTCTTGGTAAATGCTTCATCCTGAAATGAAGCAAGAGGAGGGCACAGGAAGTTAGCTATTTGGTTGTATCTTGTTGTTTGGGTCACTGTAATAATCTTTTGAAAAAGCAACTTCAAACTCAAATAAGTGAGAGAAACAGAAGAATTACAAACCTATAACGCTATTATCTAACTACTAAATTTCCCACTGGAGCTTTGCAGGGAGAATACTCTTATATTGATTAGTGACAAAAATATCTCACATGGCTCTTAGGACTTGATCCAGCTCTGCTGTGGGAGGTCAGCGGGACGGTGCAGCCAAACCCACAACACATTCCCGAAATGGCCCAGCCTAAACAGGACACACAAGTAGGCGGCTGGCAATTTCCTCCTTGCCCGTGGTCCCAGCCTGCTCCCTGCCCTCCTCCCTCCCTGTAGTGACATCCAGGTCTGAAGAACATTTTTTTGTCTGAAGGAAAGTAGGTGGAGCTACAGCTGTTTTTAGAGGAATTTGTCATCTTATGACTTATTTTGTGTAGCAAAACAAGTTTGAGACTAGTAGTCATTTAGACATATAACAGCATCTACAAAGTACAGATGATCCTGGACTGCTGTGTAGGCATGGGAAAATGCCATCTCCCCTTCTTGAAGGCCGTGGCCTCTTGCCACAAATCTAACTAAAATCCAAACCAAAGCACACTGATTTCCCTTGTGCAGCATCAGAGGTTCAGCACTCCTGAGTAAATTAACTAACTACCTGTTCACTCAGGCCATCCAGTTTGGTAGTATGCCATTATGGATCTTATCTTCCTTTCTGGTATAAGATAGGGTTGACGTTATGACCTATAGAAGGTTCCCAAGAATGGCTGATCAAAGCCCCAGGGAAGGCACTGATTTTAACTTTCCAAGTATTACTAGTATTAGGAAGAGTTGTTTTAAACAGAGAAATTGCACAAGTCTATTGGGCTCCTACCTGGAAAAATATAATTCAGAGGTGCTAGCTACCTACAGTCAAGATTATCTGAGAAAATGCAAGTGCTGTTTTTGAACTTGGATGTGGAAAATAAAAAGATGTACTGCTTTCTCAGCATTTTATATTAGATCAAGAAGAAAAGATCAAAGTTCTACTTTTTTTGGCATGGAAAATAGTTATACAGTTTGTAACAGTTGGCATTTTTCAGTGAATTGTTCTAGTTGTCCTAAGTGAAACACTAGACTGCCTGAAAAATGTATCAAAACAAAATACAGGTGTCATATAAACTTGTTAGAACAGAAAGCTACCGATAGCCCACTTACAGGTTATCAGGAACTCTATTTGAAACAGAAACATCTGTTCCACCACACAACATTCCCACTATACCACCTTTGTATTTCCACAGCATTTTACTTCATTTATTTTCATTTGCATTTTAATAGTTCCTGTAATCCTAAGGTCTTTAAAAAATGTGAGACAGGGAAGCATGTCATTCCCATTTTACAAGCAGAGTAATAGATGCCCAGAGGCTGATGTTTTCCAGGGCCATGCAGGAAGCTTAGACAGAGAGGTGATTTCTTGAATGCCAGTACTGTCTGATAGCCAAAGACCACCTAGGATCTGCTTTTAATTGAATCATTAGCTCATTATTGTGTAGTATATTTTTGATTGCTTTTTTTTCTTCATAAATACAAATAGTTTGACAGTATCCCTTCTACTCAGTCACAAACTTGATAAAAATTGAAACAAAATTTATGTCCATATTCTTCTGGAGACTGCATGCAGTACTTCAGTTTAACATGAATACTGTAGACACAGAGCTAAACTGACCTGGAGAGGAGCCACATAGGCACATCTCTGGCTCAGACTGCGCTGCGGTCAATCTCATATGACACCACTTCCCTAGACTAAATACTTTAAAAGTTACAACCTATCTTTAATCATTAAAATCAGAGTTTTCTATGCCATTCAGGCACTTACACCTGAATGTTGAGATGCTTAAAACTGTATGCAATTACTTAGGTTTGGAAAGAATGCACAAGACACATAAATTATGCTTTATACTGAGTTCTTGTGCTCTGGGGAATGATTTAACGCTGCACTCACTCAGGTACTCCACATTTCTGTAACTGCAGTGGAGAGAAAATATAAATATTTGTACTGCAGTTACAGCTGTTTTCACTTAAAGCTGGTGCAGGTTTTCTTTGTTTTGTTATCTTGGTCACTGTTGCCGACAGTTGCAACAACATTATAGGTGTCTGGAGAAGAGTGCTGGCTTTATCAGATGTTCCACTGCAGGCAAAGGGCTTGGAAAACTTTGTGTATGTCAGTGTATCCCACTGAGGCCACTGGTCCAGGAAGGTATGTGGAAACCATAGAAGCAACAGTCAGACATCCATTTTTTGAGACTTTTCATTTTTATATCCTTGAAAGGATATTCATCAACACACTCGAATCACAGTCTATATTATTATATTCGGTGTATATATGGTATGAAATTATTCTGCCTGTCCATGTGCATATTCTTGAGTTCCAGAAGCGCTACAAGGTAGTCGGGAGTATTTCGTTGTACAAAGTACTGTGGTATATTCAAAAAGACATCCTTATACAGTCTTGAGAGCAAAATTAACTTGAGACACTATTCTTTCCAGTGATCACAGCTGTATGCTCAGTCCTGAAATAATAAGCATGAACTTCAAAGTGTATGTGGCCTTTTTTCCCCCTTAACTGTACGCTCAGGCCCACTAGGGACAGATCTGAGACTATTACAACCATTTCACTCAGCGCTTACTGCTTTTCGTATCTAAAGATAAATACAGGAGGTAATAAAAAAATTCCTTCCAATCCATAACACTAGGTGATACTGCATGCACTCTGTCTGAAGGTGATAAAAAAGGTAATAAATAGAGAATATGCAGACCTAAGGCATAACGATTCTGAAAAGAAAAAGGAGTGTGCGAGGAGCCTCGTTTTCTTCATGTAGGCAGATGCCTGCAAAACCTACCGCAGAACAGAGTGTTCATTGTGCTGCCTCTGAACGGCTTGGCATTGCAGAGCTGCTGTGCTCTGTAGTCTCGGAGGTCCTTCATTACAAGATGCAGTTTCTGCCCTTGTTCAGCCTGTTTTGTTTTCAGATATGTTCTTTCTGTCCGTGCCCTTTCTTGGTTTTGTTTCTAGAAAACAATCATTTTCCTCTTAGCTAGAAGTGACTACTAGTGTTTTCTATGTAGTATAATGTCTGTTTATTTTTGGATGTCATAAACTTTTTTTAAAATTATTTTTCAAGGAGTTGCCCTGTTCAAATTTTTAATATTTACCAAATTACCAAGTTTTTTTTCTGTGCTGTAATTAGATGGGAAATAGCACTTAGTCCAAACATAGTAGACTGCATAGCTTCTCAGTACAAACAATCCAGATTTAACAGCAACATACATTTCTCTGAAATACAGTGGGAGCGCTAACTGCATTTGCCATCTAAGGTAACAGATGCACCCAGCATCTCTGCAGAGATATTCCCAATCTTTGGCTAGAGAAACTGAAAGCTCTGGGGGTTATATGATTTCTGTAGGTCTACAGAGGAGTCTGTAGTACGACCTCCTTAGCCATCATACCGTCCCTTCTCCCCAAGGATAGGGGTACAACTTTACAGCTGAACTCTTTAATAAGAGCATCTAATTCAAATGGCAAAGAACAGGATTTCCATTCTATATGCATTCCAAGTCACTCTGAAAGAGAAATCTTGCAGCTGACAGCTCATTTGTCTTAAACTGTACCAGATAATGGTTCAGTGGGCTTTGAGTGGCTTGTTACTGGTTAAATATACTGAAACATAACAGAAGAAATGTTCAGCATCCTTCATTTCATCCTGGGGTGAGAGGGGGGAGTAATTGTTCAGGGTTGTGCTTTGTTTATTAAATTTGTGTCCTGTGAACTATGAAACTCAAATATTGTCAATTCTTTCAGGAGGAAAATGAGATCCCTGCCAGTGTTTTTGCAAAAGAGCCTATTCCCAGCATTACAGAAGGAAAAGAGGAGCCTGTGGATGAGAACAAAACACTGGAAGAAACCTTGCACACAGTGGAGTTGGGTTCAGATGATGAAATGTTTCATGAGGAAGATGATGTGGATGACAGTGCAGAGGAGAAAACAGAAGAATCAAGAGCTGAGAAAATTAAAAGATCCAGCCTCAAGAAGGTAGACAGCCTCAAGAAGGCATTTTCCCGCCAGAACATTGAGAAGAAAATGAACAAGATCAGCACAAAGATTGTCTCGCCTGAACGGAGAGAAAAGATCAAGAAATCACTTACTGTACATCATCAGAAATCCTCCTCTTCAAAGAGTTCAGCTTTCAAAGTATCTCCCCTCACATTCAACTTGAAGAAAGCCCGTGAAGGAGAAAGCCCTGCTGAAGCTGAGGACAAACCAACAGAAACTACAAGTAACGACCAAGCTGACAATGAGGATGAAGCATCATTCACTGACATGCACTCGGATATGACACCTACCACCTCACTGACCGAGGAGGGCAAAGCAGTAGCTGATTCTCTAGAGAAGGAAGCCAGAATGGAAGGGAATGCCGTGATGAACAACAACATCGAGCTGTCCATTGTTGAAGATGATGAAGAGTATGGAACGCCTCTAGAAGTTCCTAGCCAGAAACTGTATGATGAAAGAAACAACCCAGTTGGTGGGGAAATGGAACAATCTGATGAAGAAACAACCCAAGCAGCCGTCCTGCAGATAGACCAAACAGCGTAATCAACCCAAGCCTTCCTTCGCCTTCCAGATACGCATGGTTTTACTTTGGCGAGTAACTGGTTTCTGCTACACAGGCGGTAGTAGCAATTCAGTTTCTTCCATCCTTTTCTCTGCAGTGGTAATTTATTGCATCTTGTTGGAATGCAGAGTGAACAAGGTCAGTGACACAAGCTGGAACATGCTCTGTTTTAGGCCAAGTCACTGGTGTTTATTAATTTAGAGATGCTGTCAGCTGGTGTAAGAGACTAGCAGGAAAAGAGTATGTCTAGTAGAAGCAAGCTGGTCAGTTAGGTCAGACGAATGTGTGGAGTGTGGTCGAAAACCAAACATGTCTGTTCTGTTTTCTTCTCTGTCAGTATTTCACAGCACTCTGAGTAGCTTTGTATGTAAATGTAGAAATACCAATGAGAACATTTGATTTCGGTTTGCATGCTATGCTCTGTGAATACTAACAGCCTCAGTAACTATGCATACACATTGTTGGGGCTTTGCTCCACGATGCTGTAAGCCTACAAGAGCAGAGTACTTAAAGGGTGAGGCTGAAAAGTTGGTTCCATCAGTTTCAGTGGGGGAAAGATTTTTGCCAGAAGCCTCTTACTATTCACTTTGAAGAAGTGACTGTGTTTAGGTGGAAATCAAAAGATGTTTTTCAGCCTACCAGAGTTAAGGAAATACATTAATGATAAGCATAATGTGATCAGCTACTGTACCTTTAAGGGATCAGAAATCAAAAAAAAAAAAAAAGAATAGTCTGAAGAAAGTATGAAACCCTATGAAATGTAAAAAAAAGCAAAAATAAAACCCTGCAATATGAAATCTGTACTGCCAGCTTAAAGAATATATCCTCAGATAGCACTAATTAATTAAGTCTTAGTCTTTATAGTAATATACTATCAAACTTGCACCTGCACAGCTTGGTATCTCAGAGTATTTTGAAAATAGCATAATTTATCTTTTTACAAATTATTTCATATATAGAGCTATATCTACACAGAAGAGTTACATAATTACAGGGATGTAAGGACAATTTTTTAAAAAAGGTGAAATACTCTTTTAGACATGTCTAAAGGGAACAATCTGTTATGGACTGAACTTCATGGCAGGGATGAGTTTACATAAGGATGAGTCTGCAAAGCCGCAGGATTTGATTTTCTGCTAATAACTTTCATCAAAGCCACCTACCTGCTCTCAAAATTACAAGTCTGTAATTTTTCAAAATTCATTGAAAATACGATGTTACAGGATAGTTTGCTCACCATGAATGTTCATTCCTGTCACTTAACAAAGGTGAGGGGGAGGGGAGAAAAGGGAAGCTCAATACCCACAACAGTTACCTTACATCCTTGTTTGTTTATGCAGTGGGTTATTTTTATTTTTATATATAAAGTATATATATATAAAATTCTACTGATACTAAACATTGCACTAAAAGGTTGCTTCCTTCAACTTGTATTTAGAATCACAAATTACCAGGGAAATAAAAACTACAACAAAAATACCATTGTGAAATGATTAACAGATATTACTCCACAGGAGTAATATCTGTGACCAGTAAATCACACTGGAAGTTAGTTAATAAGAGCTTAGTGTAGGCAAGTACTATTAAGAGTTAAGCTCTTAAGTGTATGGTATATAGGAGATACGGTTTGTAAGAAAAATCATGGCATAACCCGTGCAGCTATACTTTTATTTTGTATTAACTACAATGGATTTCAATCATTTTTACTTGTAACTAACTACAAATATGGCAAATAAAAGCATAACATAAAACACAGTCATGTCAGTCTTTGGGAGAAGGTCTGAGAAGTTGGCAAAGATGAAATTTAAAGGTCAAGCATTTATTATGTCATTTCATATCCCTGTTGTACATATACCATTTTCTTTCTCATCCTCTGTTGTTATTTAGCAAAGCAAACACCAATACTCAGGCTTTGCTTTCCAGACACTCATCAGATCTCTAGCACATCTGAATGTCGTCAGGCACTTTCCAAAATCTGCTAGCTCCATCTGCATTTTTTATTGGACTGCAGCATACTTCTAATACTTTAAATAGTCCTGGAAAGCATTATTTATATTGAAGTGTATACTCTGTTTATGCACACAGATAAATTCATGTCTTCTAGAGTGCCACATAGTATTTAGGAGGCTTAATTTTACTGACAGACCAAAGAACACACGTTTAACCTTTATGTAACAGCTGTCAACTTCCTGCAGCCACCAAGCACTAACCAGGAACCCCAGCATCGTGTTTACATTTCACTTTCAGATATACCTGGTTTGTTTGTCCTGATAAGCTTTAATTCAAATACCCCTGGCCACAGTTTATCCAGTTTTAGAGATGCCAAAACGAATCCCACATGCAGTGTTTTAAGGGCATTACAATGCTATCCAGTAAAAATATCGGAAATGCATATACTGAGCATCTGTGAGAATTAATTCAAATACCCACTTCAGGATACACTACACACAGCCATCAGTTGCAGGACTAGAATTAAACATTTTCTCTGTCACATTCACACATTTACAAGGACAAGCAGGCCTGTAATCCTAGCAAACATAGGAAAGCATGCTTTACAAGAGAGAAAAAACATCTACGCAACTCGCAAATGTCTGCTTTTGTGCTATATTATTTAAAAACGAGGGGACAAAGCAAGCTCAGGATCCTGAGATGTCCTCCAAATTGTTTCTTCCCCTTTCCTTCCATTCTCGAGTTGTGACTAAAAACATTAGTCTGAAAAGCTTAGTGTTTCAGGGAGGAGACAGACTACAGCACCAGCAGCACTCTATTCTTTCAAGTATCTGAAGTATGTGCCTGGATCTTGTCAGGCTGGCAGATGTCAAGCATACACACAGGTATTCCATGCTTGTGCTGACAGGTTTGTCTACATAATTACGTTTTTAAATAACTGCTTGCTTACGCTTCTTGACATGATAACACAGGTACAGCCTGTGAGCCCCACTCGTACCATTATTCTTTGGAAGACCTGACCTGTTAGCTGCTGCACGGATTCAGAGTTTGACCTCCACCGAATTCGGCAGGCGCTTTGCACAAAGAAAGAGGGTGCGATAAAGTCCTTATGGTATAAATATTTAAACTAACAGCACTCGGTGGCTGCTGATACTTCCATTTTCAATGCCAGAAAAACAGCTGACATTTCTGTCCCCTTTGAGGGGAAAGGGCAAAGAGCATCCTGTTGACCCCCACGTGCTAATCCACGAGTTGGCTCCTTTGTGAAAAGGCACAGATACAGGCTTTCTGGACCATTTCACTATCAAATGAGAGAGTGCAGGGAAAGCCCTCGTACAGGCCTGACTGAAGCATGTTTGATGATTAAAAAGAAGAAAGCAAGGAAGAAGAAAAGGATCAGAAGGTAAAATATACCTATATGCCCTTTACGCTTATGCAATGAAAACCAATTGTTGCTATAGGCTGCAATGCCACACAGTTACATGACTTGTGACTGATAGTCACATGCTTAAAAAGAGGAAAACTCAGAAGAATTAGTGAAGTAATGGCAATTTCTTAGAGGGTAAACTGTTCACCAAGGGACCAGTCCAACCCTGAAAGTCAATGAAAAGCCTTCAGCTGGCTCAGAGGACTCCCTGAGCCATACAATGTTTTTGGGCCACATGTACAACTCCTGTGACCATCAGGAAGAGCTGTGTGCCCAGATGCAGGACATGAGATATGCGAATCTCCCCAAACCAATCTGCTTAGCTCATCAATAGAATAAAAAGTTTTACTGCCATCAGCACGGCAGATGCAACAGCGTGGCAGAAAGGAAGACTATAGCTGCTTTGCAGGGCACGTCGTGAGCAAAATTTCAAGCTAGGTTCTGACTGCAAGGTCTTTGCTGTCAGTAATTGCATACAAAAGAGCAAGTGTAGCTCCAATTCCCGGAAACAAAGTCAAGTATGCAGGCAGGAAAGTTTTGCTGTGACCCACTAAGACACACACGCCCACTCTGTGTGTCAAGAGGAAGGTGTCAGGTTGTTTTGCTGCATGCAAAGAAAAAGATCCACCATCAGAGCAAAGCAAACGCACCGCTGGTTGGCCCCAGTCCTGGTTAGGGCTTTGCCTAGGCAACTAAACAACTGGCAGAAAACAACTGCCAGGGCAGCCCGCAGGGTGCTGACTCAGCACGTAACTATCTGCCACTTTCTGACTCACGGCCCTCGCTTTCCCAAATAAACAGAAAAAGGCTGATAGCCACTTTCCACCACTTCAAACTGCCAGGGTTTTGTTTCAGGATCTGCATTTGAACCAGCATCAACCCCAGGCTGAGTCTAACTGCATGCATAAAGAATTTTAATCAGCATACTTGCAGCTGTTGGTGGTAGCTGATCTTTCCTGCCCTCCTTTTGATCAAAATGCCTTTTTTCCTTTCCTGTCACTCCGCCAAGTTGTTTGCAGGAGTCTGAAGTGGACACTAATTCAAATAAGGAACTCTCTCTAACTGCACGTTAAGAACTGATAATCAATGTCATCTTTAATTTTTCTTACATGGTTATCCCCTTTAATGGAATGTGCTGCAGTAACTGAGAATAAATCTGCTTCGGGTTAAGCTAGAGATTGTTATTTATTTTTCTTTCAGATCAGAGACTAATATTGCTGTATGACCATTGGCACTAACCTCTTTTTCCATAGCAACACTAAAGAGAACATAAACTATGAGTCATAATTTCTCTCTGGAGGACTTTTTTGTAATTATGATCATTCCACAGTTCCTAAAATATATTAGCTGATATATAGCTCTGGTATAACAGCTTTGATTTTCCTTCGTCTGAACACACAGGCAGAAAGAAGATACTTCCATTATTTTCTCTTTTTCAGGCTGAGCTAAACACTACACAAAGTACTGCACATTCATTATTCATTATAACCACGTGGTTCCTAAAAACTCTATGGCAGTATTTTTCTTATAAAGGTGGAACAAGTTTCCTTGCTTTCAATAACCTTAAATGATACTGACCTTCTAAAACAAAACTTCTGTCCTTCC